TAAGAAAAAATCCTCTAACACGTGGTGTAGCCAGAATCCCTGTTTTGTGGGTCCTTGATACCCAAAATTTTTTTCTTTTAATTTCTCATACGAATAGAGTAAAGTACACTGATAAATGTAGCACATGTCCTATTTTCAGGGTTAACTCTGAATTTTCGAAAAATTGAAAAGTGAATTTTTTTCGGCGTCTTCCTACGACTACAAAAGTAAAGATAGAGAATTTTCCTTCAAATGAAATTTTTTATCCATAATTATTTCTTTCATTAAGATCATGTACATTTTTTAACACTTTAAGTAGTTTTCGTGCAATATTTGTATTTTTTTAAACTAAGATTTTCTCAAAAACTGCTTCAATTTTTTTCTTTAAACTTATGTTAGGTATAGTGCTACATGTACTCTATAATGTTACATAAACGCCATTTTGATGTATTTTGATTTCTAAAAAAATACAATTTTTTTTGTCTCACATTGTTAATATTTACATTAGCGGCAATTTGTTCTCATTATTGTATTTATAAATAAATGTGCTTCAAATAACGTCCAAGTTTTTCGAAAACTCAACAATTTTCTGTCAAAAGACCATCAAATATCCCATTTACAGTAACCTTAAACACCATTTTCTGAGAAACGGCTCCAAATTTTTCAATGAAAATTGCCGGTTAGAACGAAGTTTTACACTTTAAATATTTTTAAAGAAATATTTCGGTTCTGCTATTAGGAAACTGAAGAATTGAAAAAGAAAATTCTTTCGGCGGGAGAGATGTCAGCTTGCAAGTCGAGTATGAGCTAGCTATTTGGATTTAGCTCATACTCGACTTGCAAGCTGACATCTCTCCGCCGAAAGAATTTTTTTTTTCGAATTCTTCAGTTTCCTAATAGCAGACGCAGAACCGAAAATATTTCTTTAAAAATATTAGAGTGTAAAAACTTCGTTCTAACGGCAATGTTCATGGAAAATGTGGAGCAGTTCTCAGGAAAAATGGTGTTTAAGGTTAGCTGTAAATGCGGATATTTTGATGGTTCTTTGACAGAAAATTGTTGAAGTTTTATCGAAAAACTTGGACGTTATTTGAAGACAGTTATTTATAAATACAATAATGAGACAAACAAATTGCCGCTAATGTTAAAGATGTAAACAACGTAGACAAAAAAATTGTATTTTTAAGAAATCCAAAATTACATTCAAAATGGCGTTTTATGTAATCCTTATAGTGAGTACATGTAGCCACGTATACCCTAAACAAAAGTTTAAAGAAAAAATTGAAGGCAGTTTTGGGAGAAAATCTTAGTTTAAAAATACAAATATTGCACGAAAACTACTTAAAGTGTTAAAAAAAATGTACATGATTCTTGAATTGAAAGAAATTAAGTTTTGCGATAAAAAATTTCGATTTGAAGGGAAAATCTCTATCTTTACTTTTGTTAGTCGTAGGAAAGACCCGAAAAAAATCACTGGGTTCCAAATTTTTCGAAAATTCAGAGCGTAACCCTGAAATAGGACATGCTGCTACATTTATCAGTGTACTTTACTCTATTCGTGATTGGAAATTAAAAGAAAAAAAAAATTAGACATTTTTGAACAAAAAATTTAAAGAATGTTTTTCAAAATATTCAAAAGGCTTCAAAACTACAGCCAGGATGCGTACGGTTTCTTCAATTTGAAAAAAAACTCGCTACGCATTGTAGTGTTCATGGACGACGGACTTATTCGTCAATCTGTTTTTGGTTATCAAGCGACCCACAAAACAGGGATTCTGGCTTACAGCCACGTGTTAGAGGATTTTTTCTTAATTTTGCAACTGGTTTTATTCACATTTTTGTTATTCAGTTCCCGGCCAATACATGTTTTCTGCCGAAAACCCGCCGATTTTTCGCGCACGTATTACAGTTAACTTTCTCTATTTTCCATAGTATGGCGTACTATACGATAGAAATTAAAAATTAAGAAGCACAACGTACGCAACAGAAAAGAATACGGTGTCCTCCCTACGTCTCTTAAAACATTAACACTTGCTAGAAACTGATGTTCGCGTCCTCATTTTCCACTTACCGACCCTTCAATAATAGCATGAGCATGGGAAATGAGGAAAATTCCCTGCTTCTGAACTTCTTCAAAACGAATTGATTTCTTTATGGGGATTTATGTTATTTCAATTATAATAAAACACTGTTTCAGATTAAGCATTTAAACCTGCATTTAAAACAGAAAAGAAACTGATTTAATAGGGAAAAAAAAACACTGATTTAAATAGAAAAAAAAACTGATTTAAATAGAAAAAAAAAACTGATTTAATAGAAAAAAACTGATTTAAATAGAAAAAAAAACTATTAAAATAGAAAAAACTGAATTATAAATAGAAAAAAAAACTTTATATAAATAGAAAAAAACTATATAAATAGAAAAAAAACTGTATATAAATAGAAAAAAAAAACTTATGATAAATAGCAAAAAAAAACTTATATAAATAGAAAAAACTTAGATAAATAGAAAAAAAAAATTATAGAATAGAAAAAAAACTGTATATAAAATAGAAAAAAACTTATATAATAGAAAAAAAAAAAACTAATAATAGAAAAAAAAACTTATAGAAATAGAAAAACTTATATAAATAGAAAAAACTTATATTAAATAGAAAAAAAACTTATATAAATAGAAAAAAAAATTGATTGAAAATAGAAAAAAAATTGATTTAAATAGAAAAAAAAACCTGATTTAAATAGAAAAAAACTGGATTTTTAAATAAAAAAACCTGGATTTAAATAGAAAAAAACTGATTTAGAAGGAGAAAAAAAACTGGCATTTAGAATAGAAAAAAACTGGATTTAAATAGAAAAAACTGGATTTGAAATAGAAAAAAAACTTGAGTTTAAACAAAACCCTCAGATTTAAAACAAAAAAGGTGCTGAGTTTAAACAAAAGGTCCGATTTAAAAACAAAAGGGTCTGATTTAAACAAAGGTCTATTTAACAAAAGGTTTTGATTTAAACAAAAGGTCTAATTTAAACAAAAGGTCTAATTTTAAACAAAAGGGTCTGATTTAAACAAGAAGGTCTGATTTAAACAAAAGGTCTGATTAAACAAAAAGTCCGATATTTAAATTTAAAAAAGAAATTTAGAATAAAAATCGAGTTTTGAAATTAAAAAATCAGTTTTATAGTTTAAAAAATATGTTTTTCTTATTTTTTTAAACAGAAACCATAGATTTTTTTCGCAGCACTATGACAATTTAGGACAGAAAACGCAATGTTGAAGAATAGTGAGGTATGTGACAAATGAATAAAAAAGACGGTGCGTAGTTTTTCAAAAACTCTAAAGCGAGTGAGAAAGTGAAGACAGATGGACTCTGCTAGCGGCATGTATGGTTGAAGCAAAAGCTATTGCTGTGCCGTATAAAGTGTGGTATTGATGCTTTATTGCAGATGAAGTCGCGAGTCAAAGTATATAAATGGATGGAATATGGAAATGCGTTAATTTTGGAACCAGGAATAATTGGCGGATGCTGTCACTCGCAGCCACAGAAGTCGATTCACAAGTAAATGAATATTTCAGACTTTTCTTTACTTAATTCGACATTGTGAGAAGCGTCTAGAGAAGTTCTCATGGAAATCCATTTTAAGGTTTAAAGATAACGATTGCCGATTAATAACGGAAACGAATAGCACCTTGTCATGACGATGCCATTCTTGTAACTGTAATCCGTGAATGCATGTTGTAAATATTTCTTTGTTTCAAGATTATATATATATGTATATATATATATATATAATAATATAATATATATATATATATATATATAGTATATGTATGGTTTTTGGTATGTGTTCCATGTGTATTGTGAAACATGTTTGAACTAGCCTGGAAAGGGCGCAGTAACGCTGAGATTATATTTAGGTACACCGACACTGGCCGTTTTGCAAACAACTAGCTTTGGCAAAGATTTTTAGGTTTTAGGCAGGAAGTGGGAAAATACCGTATCAAATTCAAAAAACAATCGACTATAAACACCCTTTCCTTACACCCTGCCGACTTTTCGCGCCCTCCACTACATAAATTGTTATTCAATCGCCGTCGAATTAGTTCCACTTTTGTGAGTTATCAATAATAAACTATATTATAATCTTTATATTAATAAAGTAGGTAAAAGTAGATGATAATTTCAGTAAAGCACACCCATCGTGGGGCAAAGAGCAGTCAAATATATTAAATATTGGTTACATAAGCATGTTAAAATATTTTTTTTATTCATCGAGGATTGTGCGAGGATTATAAGACCCCTGTGCTCAATAAATAAATTACTGATATAATTCACAATAAATAGGAATGCACAGCATACCCAAGCTTTTCAGAGGCAACATTTAAGGCCCGTGTTCACACGTAACACAGCAGCTCGCTAACAATACCGGCGGGCTGGGTAGCAAAAGCATGTTGTTTAAATGGGAGGCCTTCCCACTTCGCGGACGCTCGCCACGAGCAGCCCGAGACGCGGCCGTTCCGCAGCACCGCTGGCAAAGCATTCATTTAAATGGAGGTCGTT